CTTCCGGTAAACCAGTTTCTTTTCTCGTCCTTAAAAAGGAAGTATGCGCAGTAACTGTTTCGATCTCGTATGAAATATGGCGACATTCTTGATTAGAAGGGATAAGTAACGATCTTTCGTTTCTCTCGTTGAGATATACACACATAGATTTTTCTTTCTTTTTATGTGCCATGTCCTTTCAGGACGTAAGCGACCATGGCTCTCCACCCCCCTCTATTCCTTGTAGCTCTCACCAAGTTCCTTCCGTCTGCCACCTCCTCCAGACTACGTTCTGTCATCCACTTGCTTAAGGCCGCTAGGTATGTCATGCATTGTTTTACCTTGTCTCTCTTTCTCTCTATTCAACCCGTGAGCATAAGATTCTCTAGGCCCTCCTTCCTAATTATGTATCCCAGAAACTTCAGCTACCTCTTCCTGATGTTTGTAACTTCTCTAATACCTTGTCGTTGCTCACACGCTCGGTCCATGATATCCTTAGCATCCTTCTGTAGAACCATATCTCCGTCGCCTCGAGTCTCTTCTTCATCTTTGAGGAAATTTTCCAACATCGGAGGAAATCTCTGAGTCAACGGCCAGCTAACTAGAGGTGGTGTCTCGATAAACCACTGTGGAGAAGGCAACAGGAAACCACTCCACTACCAATCTCAAGACAAGTCATGGTCAACAATTCAGACAATGCGAAATCTATTGGCGTAGAGGGGGTTCAGTCTATGGGAATTAGCCCTTCGCCCGGTAAGGACCGACATGCGCAACAGGTGTCACCTGACCATCATCTACACATATACAAAACCGATTTAACTCGATGATAATCCCTCTTATCCTGTTTTCATTCATGTTAATTTATTCAATTCACTTAAAAAAAACGTAACCCGAATGAATGGGCAAAAAGTGCTCTATCTTCTTCAAAGCTCACCCATAAGTAACAATGGTTCGTGATACACTAATAATGTCCCCTACGAATGACGATAGACTGTTTAAAAAGCAAAGACAAAGACCGAGCATTTATTTCATATATGTCTGTCCACTATAAATAACATCTGAAATAATATATGCGCGCCCACGTGTTTGTGTGCTATAGTATGAACGTGTATGTTAAAATGTGTCAGCAAAATTCTTGTCTTTCAAAAATGTTATATACAATATAGGCTAAACGTTTAATTTTGACAATTGAAATCGAACCGGAAACCTCACCCTTTTCCCTTTTGTCTGAAAATGGCGGTTCACGCCAAAATCCATTAAGAGAAACAAGTTCATATGGTGACTGATCTTACCGAAAAAGGTGGAGGTCATTTTTTTCTCCTGTCGTCTGCTTCTTCATTTAACTTGTCATAGTAACGCTACGATTTCGTGCGCTTTCAACTTGCACAAAGACGGCTTGCAAAAACCGGTTGATAGGCAGATAGGATTAGCCTGATATATATATATATATATATATATATATATATATATATATATATATATATATATATATATATATAGTACCTTAAAAGAAGCGATATCTAAGATTTAAAATGCATTTTAAAAATGAAAGATATTTCTTGAAGTTTTTATTTTACTTTTAATTCCAAGCTAATAGATTAAATTTAATATTTCCAATAAGTAAAATACTTTACCGTATTTCAAACATAATTTAAATTGATTAGAATTATTTTTTCGGTTTATCAGTAAAATCAATGAAATCGCTGATATTAACAAATCTGTAAACACGACGTAATCACCTTTATTAAAAATCTTTCAAAAATTAAATCTTTATGATTAGCTGATTTAGAGTTTAATTAATCTGATTTGAAACAAATATTACTTACTTTTAGACAATATTTACACACACACGTACGCACACACACGCACACACACACATATATATAGGGTGCGATAGATAATTTATCGTCTAACTTACGCAAAAATGAAAATACTATTTATATCTCATTTTAACAGATATATTTATTAAAATTACACAAAAATATCTCGAAATATTAACGAGTAAATGTATTCAATAAAATCATATATGTATGATCTACTTTAGAAAAACGTGACAAAGAACTATATGTTGTGCTGTTGTCGCCTGAAGATCGCAAATGTGTGAAACTCGAGTAATGACTCGCTCTGTTCTGGGCATTGAGCACTTTGCTGAGTAGGTAGGTGTTTACCTTTTAGTCTTTCTTTCTTTCTTCTTTCCCTGTTCGCGATTTTTTTCTTGTCTAAGGTGTTAGGTCTTCGGGCAAGTTGGTCATACCAACATCATTGGTTTTCCTTAAGTACACACACACACACACACACACACACACACACACACACACACACACACACACACATATATATATATATATATATATATATATATATATATATATATAGATAGATAGATAGATAGATAGATAAAGAAGTATTTGGTAATCTGTATGGATAATCCCAAGGAGGATGTAATCCAGAGAGCTCAATGTAAAAACAGACCAAACATTAGTTAAATTAAGAAACAGACAACAAGGGTTCATAGGATTATAGTATATTTTCCCAGGAACGGGATTTTTGTTCTGGTTCAACGTGTTCCATAAATGAACCCTTAAATTTGTCTGTTTCTCAATTTAATATATATATATATATATATATATATATATATATATATATATATTTGTGTGTGTGTGTGTGTAATAAAAAAAAAGGCCAACACTCAGTAATATCAATTCTGAACACGGCCACAAAGTGCTAACTGTGGAAAATAAAACATTCCTGTAGCTCTAGATATACTGAGAGAAAAAAACAAGAACAACATCTATTCCATACCTGAAGATGTCTGTAGGAACAGACGAAAGCTTGTAGTAAAAATAAGAACTAATGCAGCAGAAATTTATAGAAACAAGGATCTTTTCATTCATAACAGGTTCGGGGTTTTTTGTATATTATTTGAATTGTTTGCGACGATGGATTTCTCGCCAATTAAATCATTAACCTTTGCATTTGTTTTTGTATGAATAATTAATGAATATATATATATATATATATATATATATATATATATATATATATATATATATAAAACAATCCATACATTCAGTTAAAAGTAAAAAGTAAAATCATCCTTGATGATAGCTCAAAGTATAGCCAAAAGCGCTCGGAAATACAGAACATTTGGGGAGTTTCTACATAATTTATGTCCTGAAAAGAAGAACATTATAAGAACACAAGAACAATTAAATAAAGAAAAAAAACTTAACCGCAGTACCCTGTCAGTCGTTTTTAATGAAACTTGTATAAAAGTGGGATTGCTGCCCAAATACGCAATTATAATAGTTTCTTATTTAGTTTTTTTTTTTTGCTAGAGTTTTTACAGTAATGGAGTACAAAACCTGTTCATACCGTTCATTGTCCCAAGCGCTTTCCATCACTTCCTTAGCCATATTCAAGGGGCTTATAATTTGGTGTTTTTATTTCTTTTTATGTTTTGACTTTTTGAGATGTATTTTTGTGTGGTTTTGAATACTAATAGTTGACTGTATTCCGAGCCTTCGCGTCTTGAGCACTGTTGGGACTTCAAGTTTTTATTTTTTTAAAAAGAACTTTCAGTACACCACTCCCATTGTTAAACAAGTTGAGGTTGATAGTCGGGAAGAGATGTTTGATATACAGTGCCCCTCTTATAGCGAGATATTTTTGGTAACTTGATTTACATAGCAATTTTAGTCTTTCAGACCAGAATTTTTTCTTAAGCGTTCTTGTTGATTGTAGGTTGATAGATGATTATTTTTTTATTGCACTTCTACTCAAGGAGGTGGTAGTATGTTCGATATAGTTAATTGATTTATGATAAGAAGCACAATCTTGTACTAGGCAGTGAAATTGATACACTATATTGGTCATCGCTAGTTTACATGCGGTTAAATTGATTGGTGATAACAAGGTTTGCGGTTTTTCCACACACACACACACACACACACACACACACACATATATATATGTATATGTGTATTATTATTATTATTATTGACACGTGAATAGAACGCTCGCATTCTGACCATGAGACCCGGATTCGAATCTCACCATGGTGGGTTTGTCAGAAAGGAGATTTCCTCATGTTATTGGAGAGCAGGGGTCGAACCCAGCGCATGGCACTTTCGACAGTGCCGAAAAACCATACCACGGGTTGACCCAAGCCTTGTGAGTGAAACTGGATAGCTAGAAAACTTGGGGTCCATCGATAGCTGTGCTAGCACGAATTCGCCTTGCTCGCCTTGTTCAAATTATTGATCACGTTAGATAACATGCTCTTTCCCATAAACTGTAACTAAGGTCTGCTCAGCATAGTTATAAACAACAGGTGACCTCTGTGTGTGTTGAATAAACAAAATGCGCCTGAGCAAGCGTATACAATAGGGATTGACTAAGCGCCTTAGTAGACGGTTATCCTTGAATACGAGCTATACATTATTATTATTATTATAAACGGTATATGTTGTAGGTACATGTATTGGAGTAGATATCTCTGTTTTTTAACAGTTAAAAATAATGTTTGCTGGCTTAAACATTGAAAGTTTTAATAAAGGAAAACGGGTCTCCTCCTGATCTCTTAACCCGGTAAACATTTCTTTTACTGTTTAAAAAACAATGGTGTCTTCTCAAAAACCTGTACTCACTAAAATGAGTATTAAAAAAAATGGCAAAACTTAATTAAAACAAAAAATTATTTACAAAATTTTTGTTATTATTAAGAGGAAAGCCAAAAGCATTTTTGGAGTATTAAATCAGATTTTTCATTCTTTTTAGAATCTTTGAAATTTTGGTTAAATTTCATATAATGTGTCAGCGGGCGGCCATCAATTGGTATAGAAAAATTTACCTTCTTTTTGCGGTGAAAAATATATTGATTTGGAAATTCTTGTAAAATTCAAATAATTGTCGGATTTTAATGAAACTTTCAGGACTTATTCATAAATGAATTAAATTATTTTAGTATTTTTTTATTTTTAGATCTTGGTAACATCTGTTATCCTGCACTTATTACCGACCTAAGAGACGGGGAGAGAGAGGAGGGGAGAGGGAGAGAAGGAGGAGTAGAGAGAGAGTGAGAAGGGGAGAGAGTGTGAGAGGGGGTACAGAGAGGGGGAAGAGAAAGAAAGAGGTAGAGAGACAGGGGAGAGAGAGGGGGAGGGAGAGAGAGGAGAGAGAGAGAGAGAGGCTGGATGTGACACAAGATCGTCTTAACGTGGGGAGCGTCATACGCATAGATATGCATATGGGCCAAGGACAAAAATAGCGGTTTTACCCAGCCACAGCGACCACTGTCATACAGGCATCAGTATTACAGCGACTCCACTTCCCTTAATTCAATGAGAAAGGTGGTGCTTCAGGGCTGAAATCCCCGGGGCTGAGCAATAACAACACCTCAGGCCAGGTAAGTTAGGTATGTAAATAAGCGTCGGTTGAAATAGGTAAGTAAGTAGACAGATAGGAAATAGATATAGAGACGGAATAAGATAAGACAGATAACATAAAAGAAATAAGCACGCAGAAATAGATTTATTTATGAGTTGGCATGTTTACTTCAGTGGGACTAAATTTAATTTTAGTAGATAAGTGATAATAAATAGTTAAAAATGTCCCACGTCGAGTTATCTGCTGTCAGCACTCGACAAGCTGGCAGCTTATTTGACGGACGAGAATGTAAACAGTCATTCACTTACGACAATCATACAAATCGGCCATCTGGAATAATGGCAGACCAGAAGATATGTTACGACAATCATTGTCACTTTCAAAAACATAACAAGCCCAACAGTGTCGGTCAAAGCAAGATGATTATGGGAAATCGAGTTTGAGAAAGTCGTCTGCAATGACGTGCTTGAACCTGACAATTTTACAAGTAAATTAATAGATTTGATATAAATGAGGAAAATTTCAGTCGAGTAATATCCCAGGTGTTGTGCAGGCTATATTATTAAAAAAAAGCCGATTTAATGTCCGTCACTATCTGTGTGTGACTTTGCATACGGGTATGTAATTTATATGGAAAGATTTTCAAATTACGATTTGCAGATCGCATGGGGTTTGTCTGATAATTGTATGCAGATCCCAAGAGTACAAATATTTCTTTTTTAAGTTCATTAATAGATACTAGAAAGACCCGTGATAAGTTCACGGTTTTCCTATTTAAATGTTCATAGGTACCTTCATGAGATCGCTAAAAACAGAGCATAGCATGATGAAAAAGACGCCAAACTTGACGAAAACAAAATTTTAGCGTCTAAATGTTTATGTTATCATTAAGAGAAAAGATCAAAGTATTTTTTAAATTATTTTTAAAATTTTTTCCTTCTTTTTAGAACATTCTAAATTTTGATTAAACAACCTTGTTTCTCTTTGTATCACGGGAACTAGTAAAATAACATAGGCAATTTTTAGCACGTTTTTTTACTGTATGACAGACATTAATTTTGAAAATCTTGCAAAAATAAAAATAATTGTCGGATTTTCATGAAAATTTCAGAAACTATTCACAAATTCTGGAACTTATTATAAATATGTTTTCCTTTTTAAAGTCATGGCAAAAATATTTTTTTCATATGTATTATACCCTCCCCCCCCTAACTAATTGTACGAAAACTCTATAATTTCAATTTTGGGAAGATTAGTGATTATATTAGTTAAAAGCACAAGGCTTTGAGGAAAACCAAATCATGTTTTTTTTTAGTTGGATCACCTTGTGACGATGATCATCATCACACAAATACATACTTATGCAAATTCAAATTATGCAATCACAAGCATTCATTGGATAATAAATCAACACTACTGTGTAATGCGACAATTTTATAATCGCTATATTTTCATGTAGTCGATTTTGTGCACTTTTGGGAGAATCGGATCCCAGAAGTTTTTCGTGAGTCTCCCCAAAGCTCGCTCGCTGATTGGTTAATGCCAACCAATCAGATTGTCTGCACGTGAATAGTGATTCTTCCCGCGCAGCGCTTTCGGAGCCGATGACCACCTATATAAGCAAAGAAAATTCTTAGTAAACCAATGAGATCTCAAATGTTACAGAAATCCACGACAGTTGAAACCATGCGCCAATCTTCTCACTCACACCACCACTCACATGCTGAATATTCCCTATACTCATATAATCTTTTTTCTTACACAGCAAAACTATTGAAAACATTTATTACCAGAAACCATTACAACCTAATTTCTTTCAGTGAACTTTGGAACAATTAATAGTTAAAGAGAGACAACTCTTGTTTTACTCAATGCATGCTTTTCTTTCACATCGTTGTTTGTACATCTTGTTAAATACAAATTTTTTGTGTAATGATGTCTTGGGATTATCCTTTTTTTCTTCACATCAGTTTGATTTCCTAATCTAAGTTAAATAAATGTGGTGAAGTCCGCCACAACCCCTACCTGAAAATCATCTCTGAATTGTAACATACAAAACTCAATAAAACAAAAATATTAATTTATTTCAAAAGCTTTAATTGCTTATATTTATTTTAATGAACATGGACAGTATTGCCAGAAAGCAAAAAGATATTTCGATGAAAAATGAATTTTTAAACAATTATTTGTTATTTCTGAAATATTTTATTATTTTTACATTATGTTGTTAATTCTTCTAAAATTACGGAAAAGTTTGTAGTATTGAACGAATGTTGCTATTAAGTAGATATATATATTTACAGATTATAATTTCCAAAGCTTCTTACAAGCTAACGAACCACAGTATATAAAAAAATATAATTTGCGTCAATAATAACAATGTAAATCAAATCTATGGAAGACCGGAAGTATCATGCGTGCAATAAAAAAAAACGTCACGTGGATAGAGTTTCTGTCTAGTATTTAACTTAAATACTGAATTTTTAATACAATTATTCGTTATTTCTTTAATTATAATAGATTTTTACATTTAAGTTGTTAGAATATTATAAAATTAGTTAAAGGCCGCATTCAGTTTCGTAAATGTCCTTTTGAGATAGATTTATTTTTGCGAAACACGTGTGGAGAAGTTAATTTGATTTTTCAATTTCAACTGAGAAGGGTAACTACAAGTATCACTTTAATCTTATGAAATTCAAATTTGTATTTTATGTACACTTCTGATAAAATTTAAGAAGAAAGAAAATTTAATCTCACTATCAACAGTCTTATTTTAATTTCTTTATAATATATTTTCCATAAAGCATCGTAAACCTAAAGGTGAAAGCTAAGTACAAAAAAAAAAAAAAAAGAATTAGAGCGCTGAAAGTTTTCCTTAAAAATAACGAGGTAAATAATTTATTCGCTTAATCTAAATAACTTCACATCACTCCTTCCGTAGAAGGAATTATCCTCACGTAAGCTATCAAAACGTCATGAATGTCTTTTGTCACCTGTCAAGTGACGTGAAATATTATGACCTGCTTTGTTTTATTTTCAAATTACGTCTTTTCGGCGCAGAAACAAAGTTAATCTTGGTTCAAAATATTTTATATAAACATTATAATTTCTGATTTTCTTGAAATAAGTTTTGAAAAAATTATAATTGATTTTTAAAAGAATTTCAAACAGAGATTTTCATTTTTTTATAAATTGGAAAAAATGGCTGACATGATCGATTATCTGTCAATTTTGCTGACTGAAAAAACAAGATTTTTAACGAAAATTTTGGACGTGCCAGGAACGATTAAAAATGTAAAAAATACCCACAAAATACTTTGATCTTTCCTGTTAATAATAACATAAACATTTAGATGATAAAGTTTTGTTTTCGTCAAGTTTAGCGTCTTTTTCGTCATGCTATACTCTTTTTAACGATCTCATGAAGGTACCTAAATTTTCGGATGAATCTTAATTCTTAATTCTTAACTTATGAGTCTTAAGTTAATGATTGAATAAGCTCATGGCGTGTTCTACGACAATAAAATATCCGTAGAAATTCATCTATCGCATCATTAAATATTTGGACTTAACTTTAACAAAATATTGTACGTCTTGCGTATGAAGATAAACTACATCCGCGTCCTGGGTAAGACGATAAACTACGTCCAACAGCAATCAGAATCAGGTTCACAGGAGCGTGGAATCACCTCTTAATTGTGCATGTTCCTCAGACCACCTTGATCCGGGGTGGTAGCACCTGTTAGGGTCCCAGCCATGGGTAAATAGTTACCCACCAAACCAGGGTCAAAACACTACGAAAGTGTAAAAATAGGTTTTAATACCAGAAATACTTTGTAAAACTATAACCAGCAATACATTATTACCAGCAATACCTTTTTGAAAAAAAATATTACTAGCGATAAATATTTTGTCGCATTAAATAACCCAAAATAAACCAAACCAAACTATACATTTAAAAAAAAAAAAACTATTATCAGCAATACATTTCCGAAAAAAAATTACCAGCTATACATTTTTTGAAAAATATTACCAGCCATACATTTTTGAAGGAAAATATTATCAGCAATAAAAATTGTCGGTATTAAATAGCTCATTGTGGTTGATAGGTCATAAACCAAACCAAATAAAATATTGCAATAACAATCATAATTATGAATGCTGGTCGTTATTTTAAGAAGTAAGGGGGTACAATTGAAGAGATTTGAAATCGGCAACTTTTTCCATTTCACTGAAACAACCTTTAAAAAATTTTATTTTCCTTCCTTCCTTCCTTCTTCTCTTCCTTCCTTCCTTCCTTCCTTCCTTCCTTCCTTCCTTCCTTCCTTCCTTCCTTCCTTCCTTCCTTCCTTCCTTTTCCCACGCGATCAAAACAGTTTAGTCCATTATTTATGAGGTATTGGCAGAAGACGTTAAACACTTCTTTCTTTCTTTCTTTCTTTTTTCTTTCTTTCTTTCTTTCTTTCTTTCTTTTCTTTCTTTCAAGTAGTGTCTTTTCCTTCTTTCTTTCAAAACGGTTTAGTCCATTTTCTTTCAGAAGACAGAAATCTTCTTTCTTTTCTTTCTTTCTTTCTTTCTTTTTTCTTTTTTCCTTTCTTTTTTCCAGAAATCAAGTAGTGTCTTTTCCGATCATGTCGATCAAAACGGTTTAGTCCATTATTTATGAGGTATTGGCAGAAGACGTTAAGCACTTCTTTCTTTCTTTCTTTCTTTCTTTCTTTCTTTCTTTCTTTCTTTCTTTCTTTCTTTCTTTCACAGAAATCAAGTAGTGTCTTTTCCTTCTTTCCCACGCGATCAAAACGGTTTAGTCCATTATTTATGAGGTATTGGCAGAAGACGTTAAACACTTCTTTCTTTCTTTCTTTCTTTCTTTCTTTCTTTCTTTCTTTCTTTCTTTCTTTCTTTCTTTTTTTCTTTCACAGAAATCAAGTAGTGTCTTTTCCTTCTTTCCCACGCGAATCAAAACGGTTTAGTCCATTATTTATGAGGTATTGGCAGAAGACGTTAAACACTTCTTTCTTTCTTTCTTTCTTTCTTTCTTTTTCTTTCTTTCTTTCTTTCTTTCTTTCACAGAAATCAAGTAGTGTCTTTTCCTTCTTTCCCACGCGATCAAAACGGTTTAGTCCATTATTTATGAGGTATTGGCAGAAGACGTTAAACACTTCTTTCTTTCTTTCTTTCTTTCTTTCTTTCTTTCTTTCTTTCTTTCTTTCTTTCTTTCTTTCACAGAAATCAAGTAGTGTCTTTTCCTTCTTTCCATATTCGATCAAAACGGTTTAGTCCATTATTTTGAGGTATTGGCAGAAGACGTTAAAACTTCTTTCTTTCTTTCTTTCTTTCTTTCTTTCTTTCTTTCTTTCACAGAAATCAAGTAGTGTCTTTTCCTTCTTTCCCACGCGATCAAAAACGGTTTAGTCCATTATTTATGAGGTATTGGCAGAAGACGTTAACACACTTCTTTCTTTCTTTCTTTCTTTTCTTTCTTTCTTTCTTTCTTTCTTTCTTTCTTTCTTTCTTTCTTTCACAGAAATCAAGTAGTGTCTTTTCCTTCTTTCCCACGCGAATCAAAACGGTTTAGTCCATTATTTATGAGGTATTGGCAGAAGACGTTAAGCACTTCTTTCTTTCTTTCTTTCTTTCTTTCTTTCTTTCTTTTCTTTCTTTCTTTTTCTTTCTTTCACAGAAATCAAGTAGTGTCTTTTCCTTCTTTCCCACGCGATCAAAACGGTTTAGTCCATTATTTATGAGGTATTGGCAGAAGACGTTAAACACTTCTTTCTTTCTTTCTTTCTTTCTTTCTTTCTTTCTTTCTTTCTTTCTTTCACAGAAATCAAGTAGTGTCTTTTCCTTCTTTCCCACGCGAATCAAAACGGTTTAGTCCATTATTTATGAGGTATTGGCAGAAGACGTTAAAAACTTCTTTCTTTCTTTCTTTCTTTCTTTCTTTCTTTCTTTCTTTCTTTCTTTTCAAGTAGTGTCTTTTTTCTTTCCCACGCGAATCAAAACGGTTTTCCATTATTTATGAGGTATTGGCAGAAGACGTTCACTTCTTTCTTTCTTTCTTTCTTTCTTTCTTTCTTTCTTTCTTTCTTATTCTCTACTTATATCTTGCTTTTCTTTCATTTTCTCACTGAAAACAAATAGACTTTTCCTCTCTTTCCACGTGATCGAAACGGAATAGTCCATTATTTATGAAATATTGGCAGGGCGTAACGGTTGTGTGAACTAACGAAGGAAGAGACAAACACAATCTAATAGGATTTTTACTGTTTTTTGTTTACTTGCTTCACAAAATAATAATCAGTTCCAAGGAGGTCAAAAAACAGAACGAAGACTGACACTATAGGCATTTCATATTTATTTTTATTGTACTATAAAAAGTCCGTTTCAGCTAACATATTTAAATATGCAATCTGTCTTGCGCATATCTGTTGCGGGAATCGCCACATTTATTAGGAGAATATGAGTTATTCATTCTATGTCTCCGGGTGCATTTTTTTCCGCAAACAGTATTTGGCGGACTCATGTGAGTACAGGTAAATATTTCAATTTCATTCAGTTCGGGTGTATGTACGTTTGTGAGTATCTATATTATAATTCAATGAGAGACTTAAAAATATTTCTACAACAGAAGTTTGGGGTTGGATCAGAATATTTACTACAATTTTGCTTCTATTTTACCATCATGGTGGAAAATAAAACAGAAACCTGTTTTACCATCCAGAGAAAATAAAACAGAAACCTTTCAATAGGTAGTGTATAACTGAGGAAGACTGAAGAATTGATCGGCTGAAACAAACTTTGTTCGAACAAGAGAAACAGCAAAATGTAATGCTTTCTGCATACTATATTTTGATGATCCCTGTTCGGGAAAATTTTGAGTTCTGCTAGTGTTCGAGCTTGCCTTCACATTGCGTATACAAAGCATCATTATTAACAACTAAATGTCATTATTCTGTGGACTTTACTTCAAGAGACAAGCATTGCCGGATCTAGAAGCGTGCGAGGGGTATTTCTCCACGGGTGGCAATTTTTTTACGAGCTATATTGAGGTGAATTAAGATAAGGAAATATTATGATGTTGTAAGTAGATGTTGTCTGGTTTTGGCATATTGTTTAGCGGGTCGACAAATTCTAAGACCACCTCGGGACACACAAACCCTACGGTTTGCAGTCAGAAAATTGGTTCACTGTGCCGTTCTAGACAATCTTGCCCTCCCCAACCCGAATTTATCTTACACATTTCTAAGTCTACCGTTCGTCCATGCTTTGAATATTGTTCTCACACTTGGTCTGGTGTTCTGCTATGTAGAAATTCTTGATAAAAATCCCAAACTGAATCTGCAATGTTACTGGATTTGACCCGACATTTCGGCTTCAATTATTTTCCCCACCCACGTAACGCAACTTACCTGTACCTTTTCTAAAAATACTTTCATGGTAACTGTTCTCATGTGTTTTCCTCGTATTACCTCGACTTGATGAATTTGGCAAGTAGCCTCAAGCCAGTATGTAATAATACCTCACAATTGACAGAATCTCAGTACTTGTTTCCGTCATTATACACCTGAATAAAAAACCAGAACTGAATATTATTGTTAATAATAATAATAATAATAATAATAATAACAACCGATCCTCTGGAACATGACAGTTCAAACTGACAGGTAAATAAAAGCCAACAGACCTGATATCATAAAAGACAAGAAATTCAGGAAGTGTATGCTTACTGACACAGCAGTACCATCTGAGAGAAACATCTCCATAACAATTATCGAGAAATTCTCCAAATTCTGAGACGGTGCCAATATTAATCGGAGCTCTGGGCCTCAGGTAACATCTACATAAAATTTGTCCTGAAGATCGCCCTACTAGGAACATCCCATAGACTAAGAAAAGTGCTATCAATTAAATGACAATTCTTCTATAGGGTCTAAGGACTATAGTTTGGACCCGGCTCTAAAAGATACAAAGAAGGAAACATAACGCACAATAATAATAATAATAATAATAATAATAACAAGTCGAAGGCAGATACTATGAAGCTATTGGACTCTTGGAAATGCCAATCCAAAATGATAATGAAATTAAAGACAACCGACCTGATGTAGTGAATGGCAGGAAGAAAAGAACTTTTCTGTTTATTGCGCAAAGAAATATCTCCCAGAAAACTAAAGAAAAATTCTGGCAACATCACGATATAAGAATCCAGTAAAACGTCTTTCTCAGGATTGGATTAATTTTTTTTTATGGGTATCACCCAAGGCGATCCTTAACTCAGGCCTCGCAATCAAGTTAAGACCATCAGGCGACTTTACGTTTTACCATTGGATTAACTTTTATTATTTAAGATACTGAAGTAAGTATAATGTTTATTGATTTTGAATTTTGCATATTTTATCACATACAGATAATTTAAATTTAATATTTTTCCCTATTTATCTTCAACAATGACCATATTGAGTACAAAATTAATTTTTTTATGAATAATTTATGTTTTTCTTTAACGGGTATTTTAAAAAAAGTATGTTGAACTTTTCTGTCGTTCGTAAATAAATAGAAGATATTAAGAAATAAAAATGTAATGAAAAATGACACTTATTAAAGAAATTATCACATGAAGTTAATGTCAAAAATTAAATTTAATATTTTACGACTATTCTTAAAAATATACCAAATATATCTTGATAATTTCATCTTTCTCATTTTACTTTTTTCTTGATTATTTTAAACTGCGAAATTCTAAAAAAAAATTCATTAAGAAATTTGTCACATAAAGTTAATTAAAATTTTTCTTTATGCTTTTATTCTTTATAGAAATGAATATTTTGATTATAAAATTCGTTTTTAATGATAATAATTTTTTATTTTAATTTAATTTTTAATTTTAATAGTAATTTTTGTTTATATTATAACACGTAAAGTATGTTAATACAGCCTTGTAAGAAAACAAAAAAACGTGAATGGAACATTTTACACTGCAGATTTTCTTATTTTACTATACAGAAATTTGCCCATTTGAAAAAAAAATTATTTAATATTTTGTCTATGTTATTCTTCTTCATAACAACAAATATATTGACTTAAAAATAAAATACAAAAACAATAATTTGCGGGTATTTAAAAAATGTATGTTGAATTTTATGAGCATTGTGGTTATAAATGTAAAACAAGTTACAAAATTAACGAGTTTAATATTTTTACAGGAAATAAAAAATAATATATTTTTACAGGAAATAAAAAATATTAAACTGGTTAACTTTCTTTAGGTAATTGCATTTCATGGAGAGAAGATGATTGATACCCCCCCTCGTAAAGTACGGTTATCCACAATTTAATTTTCCAAACTCTAAGATTCCCATAGCTGAATCCCAAATTCCTTCGTCCTGGCATTTCTTAATCAATGTTAGTCTCTAAAAGATCCCCACAGTCATACAAATTTTAAATTTCAAATTCTGAAACCTAAATTCCAAAGTCCCAACACTCCAGATCTTAGAATATAATTTTTTTTTACACTTTTTAGAAGCGCCATGTAATTTTTTTTTACAAAATAGTAGTTTAGTCAATATTTTTTTAATTTCAGTACCCCAAATCTTACTCAGAATGGTCAAAAAGTGCTCTGTTGTCGTGGTAACTATGATGAACAAAATAAGCTGTTTTTTTGTTTTCACTGGAGGTATTCTAATATTTTTAATAAAAATTTTCAGAAAAGGACAAAATCCTCACTTTTGAAAATTTGTATCAAACATTGATCATCAGGATCAAAACACACCCTTTATTAAATGGATAGAATACTGCAGAAACTGTTAATTTCATTGAAAAAGTCTTCAAAATTTGGAAAACGGTCTGTGTCAAATAAATATATAGTGACATTAAGAAAAATGATCCTCTGAAAAAAGTGATATCAGATTTAGATGATGAACAGCTGTTATTTCTTTCTAATAACAAAAAGGATGGAAGGAAAACAAGGAAAAAGAATGAAATCACTAACAAGAGTTTAATAGTTTAACCATTGAATATACAATACAATGGCTGAAATGACGTTTGGAGATATTTCCTAAACTGTGGGTTTAATATTGTTATGAGTGGTGAATTTACCAAAGACAATTTGGAAAATTAATACAAAGTTCTGGAGGTGCATATTTTATAACAGTTCAAAATGTTATTGAAAAATTTAAATATAGACAGAAACTAAAACCATTTTTTAAATTAAATGTTGAATCAAAGAATGCAACTTTGATCCAGGCGATAATTGCTCAAAATGTGAACATTTGCTGCATGAAAAGCAATGCCAAACAGGTGATAATTTACTAGACCTTAAAATTAGGATCCCTAAAGATATTAAAAGGTTACATTTTTATATAGCAGGCTATGTTAGAAGAAAAGATTGTCCCGCAGAATAGAAAATATTTTATAATATTAGTTTTTATTTTCAAGAATATGAACAATTTTGAAATAAATAGATTTTCAATTGGGTAACCCCACCAATTATCTTGTTAATTAATTTCTTGTTCTTGTTAATGTAAATTGATTTTAATTCTTGTGTACTGGTAATATCTATTATTGTATCATAGCAAAATAAATATTTTCTACATTTTCTGTGAAACAATTTGTACATGTAACAGAAATAAAAAAAAAATTGTAAAGATTATCAAAATTATTGTTTCTCTGAAATTCACTTCTTTTGTAAAGTATTTTCAGACTTTGTTGATACACGATTTTTGTAAAATGCTGAAATTGCTTTCTGATTGTGTTATACAATTACATATTCAGTAATAAATTAATACATGCACAAATTAACTCATTTTTGCAATATTATCAAAAAATTATGTTGAATAAATTGATTTTTGTGCATTTAGTTATTTTATGGTATTTTTG